ACTGCAACCAACGGCTGCGAAATAAACTTCTTAGAAGCTTTTCTGACTAGACCACTGACAATGCTGTAAAAAAGTATTAATGACGTGAAATGTCAGAAACATGGATTAGCTTTGTAAAAATACTTGTGAGATCACTGAAATGATAGAAGAGAAGCAAGACACCTTTTACTGGTGCCTGTTTCAAATGGTGACTGCTAACAGCCAGATCTGTAAGACCAAGTTCGTCGAGGAGAATTGCTGTTAAGCTACAACGGTCTGCTAACCGATAGACATAAAGTGAAGACATGAGTTTAGTTTTTATCATTTGGTTTAAGAATACCGGATTCTCGCGCTGAAATGGGTCCTACTTTCATACAGGAGCACATAAATGAAATATGTTTTCAATCTTTAAAAAGACTTGTCTGAAAATATGAAACTTATGTGCTCATAATTTTATTAAACATCTAGCCATCCATTTTGAACCGCTTCAAAAGATTTTTTTAAAGATCTCGGTTAGTTGGCACTCACGAACGCTCATCGAACTACATTTGCAAGCATAACTAAGGCTGATGACAAGCTATTTGGTTGCACATATCGCCATGAAAGCCAAATTATCGAGAGATTCTTTTTATGTACAGCGTAGAATACAGTTAAGGCTTTTATGCTCTTATTATTTCAGACCTGGAATAACTCACAGGACCCTCTGAAGCGCAATGACTCACTTTCAGCACACAACTTCAAAACAGCGAATCTTTCAACTTAACCGTTGAATTAATTCAGAGGAAAAATTAAATTTTTTAGAGAATAATATGCGTAATAATGAATCCGCAGACTGTTATCCGTTGATGAAAACAACGACTGATAGAAACTACGTACCTGTCCTTCAGCAGCGTATTCCTCCTTGATCAACTTTCCAACGGTAGCCTTAAACTCCCCTCTCGTACTTTCTCTCAACGATCCGTTTTGCTTCAGCGACTTGATGCTGTTTCTTCTGCTGACAGTACTGTTAACAGAAGTGTTACGAGATTGCTGCTGTATCGCAGATGACACTGATATACTGCGGACACTCTCAAAGCTGAAACAATTAGCAACTTCTTAATTCTCATCTTCTTTTCGGCACAGCAAGCATACCGTTTGCGAACCATTGGGTCGATGGTACCCACATCCAGTATCTCTTCGAAAACGGACAGTTCTGAAAGTAAGAAAAACATTATAAATTATCATCAATGCTTCAAGAAAGACCAGAAAAATCACGACAGTGAACAAAGAAGGAAAATAAATCAGGATAGAAAAAGAAAGAGAAAGAGAAGCACGACAGAGAACAATGTGATGGGTAGAAAGCTGAAGAAACAAAGGAAGAGAAATCCGAAGGAAAACGGAGAAGTAAAAGAGCAAGGAACATACATGAAAACAATTGGAAGCGAACGAAGAAGACGAAGAATGAAAGTGAAATGAAAAAACGAGGAGGTAAAATTGAAATATAGCAGAAGATATAAAAAATAAGACAGATATAAATGAAAGAAAGTAAACTTCGTCCTTGCTGGTCCCAAGACCGGTTGAGAAAGGAGGATGGTTGGAGACCGAGCGAAGTCTCCGTAGAAATTCGGACGCCATCGAAAATTATATCGGCTCGGTCGTCGCCTTGGGTTACCAAGGGCCGCGCAGGCTATTGGGGGGACTGAGGCAGACTTTGAAAAATCGAGGATCAGAACCTACTCAACGCTATTCTTCAGCCGAAGGCGTAGCAGCAGAACAACGGCTGACGAAGATCGACGAAAGGACGACGAGGTTACCAGTCAGCAGCGGAGTCGCAAGTCATTCTGAACGTAGGGGGCTGGTTTTCGGGGTCTGAAAACTTGGCTCTTTGTGTTCAAGTTGATCTTCTTCCTGTTGGTTAGCTACAGTAATGAGTCATTGGCCATGACCAAAAAACTTCAATCCCTGGTACAAGCGCTGAAATGGGCCTCCTGAGACGATGTCGCTGGACTTACGTATGTCGACATAATACGAAATGCAGACATCCTCTATAGCCTCGGTGTAGAGTCGCTGCTTCTTCAGACTGGGAAGTCACAGCTACAATGGTTTGGGCATGTGTTGCGAATGCCTCCAGAAAGGAAAGCTAAGCAATTGTTCCTCGGAAATCTGACTGACAGAAGGCCCAGGGGACGGCCAAAATTAACCTGGTGTAGGAGTCTGTTCCAGACTCCAGTTGTCTTCTGCCGAAGCTGAGACTCTGACACAGGATCGGGAACGTTGGAAGCTGGAAGCTCTCTCTGACGCGTCTACCTCCGCTACTCAAAGGAGAAGCGGCGATGGAAGATGAGCATCGAATTTCAGAGGCCAATTAACTTTGCGATGGGCCAAAAGGAGATAAAAGGAAATAATGGAACAGAAAAATAAATCCATTTATGATGACTGAATGAAGAATTAGAAAAGATTGAAACACCGAAACATGAATGACACATTAATTTCGAATTTGAGCAAAGTTGTCGCAGCGACAAGATGAAAAACGAAAAAGATATAAAACTCGCATAGAGCCGGGAGGGTAATAGAAGAAAAATCATAACCTAC